ATGTGCAATCAGCATCAGTCAATTTTAGAACATTTTTATTTACCTTTATTGCCCCTCCCTTTAGCAACACCCCCTCTGCCTAGCCCTAGGCAGCCACTATTTTCTCTCTATATAAATTTCTTTCTCTAGTTCATATTTTATATGAAGGGAATGATATAATAGGTGGTCTCTTGGGGGCAGGGGTTACTGGGGATCGAACCAGGAGCATTCTGGGGCTGGGGATTTAGCTCAGTGGTTCCTCTGCCTGCCTTGCAAGCACAAGGTCCCGAGTTTGATCCCTGGTACCAAAAAACAAAACAAAACCAAACCAGGAGCATTCTACTGCTGAGGTATAGCTTTAATTTTTGTTTGTTTTGTTGTTTTTCTGAGACAAGGTCTTGCTATGTAGTCCAGGCTAAGCTTGAACTTGAGATCCTCCTGCCTCAACTTCCAGAGTAGCAATTAGGACAAACATCACTGTGCTCAGCATAGGTGGTCTTTTGTGCCTCATTTTTACTTTGCATACAACCAGATTTAAGAGAGAGGAACTGCCAGGCTGCAGCCTCATAATCTCACTAGCAGTATATGAGAATTCTAACTTTACATTCTTGCCACTTTTTATCCAGTTTTCTGATTCGAGGCAACTTTCTAAGTGTAACATGGTATTTCACTGTGGTTTAAATTTGTATTTCCCTGGTGACATGATACTGAACACCCTTTGTGTGCTTACTGGCTATCTGTCTATCTCCCTTGGAGAACTGTCTTGAGTTTTTTTGACAATTTTTAATTGGGGTGTTTTCTTTATTACCCAGTTATAAGAATTCTTCACATATTCTGGATACATGTATGATTTGCAAATATTGTCCCCCATTCTGTGGGTTGTAGGTTCACTTCTTGAGGGTGATCCCTTCCTCCTAGACAGCTTTTTCCTGGTTTCCTAGGCTCTCCTCAACACTCTTCCACTTCCTCTTCTGTGTGCACATGTATTACTTTATGTCTATTTACATACTTTAATAGACACAGTAGCATGTTCTCACTTCCACATTTAGAAGATGAAACCATGGAATTTATTCAGATCTTACCAGTTGTCCTAATGATGTTCTGTTCTCAGATCCAATTCAGGATCCCACATTGCACTTATTACCAGGTATGCTTAGTCTTCTACAATTCGTGACTGTCTCTTGAATCTTTCTTCCTCTTCTATGACCTGGGCACTTTTGAAGGGACTGATCAGCATTTTGGAAAAAGTTCCCCAACCTGGGTTTGAAGTTCTCTTTGATCAGCCTGAGATCATGGTTTGGGATGAATACCACCAGGGTGCCTTTCTCAGTGCACTATATGGGGGTACACAGGTCCAGATGTCTTGTTACAGTCATGTTTTAACCTTGATCATGTGGCTATGTGGTGTTTACTTGTGAGTTCTCTACTGTGCAGTTACTATTTTTTCTGTTGTCATTAATATATATTTTGGAAGGCAATACTTTTGAGGTTTTGCAACTGTCTTATTTCCCCTTAAGTTTTCACCTACTGATTTTAAGATTCAGTAGATGTCACTTGCAGGATTACTATGGCAATGATAATCTTCAGTTTCCCTTGTTCCTTCTACATTTATTAATTGGAAGTTTTCTGCAAGGAAGAATTACCCCTTCATCCCCATTTATTTATCTGTAACTTCTATTACTATGGACTAATATTTATTTTATTCTTTGGGTTATAACCTCATTATTATTAATGCTCACACTCCAGCTTTGGCCATTGAGAATCCTTTCAGATGGGCTCCTATGTCATTTTTTTTTTTTTGGTACTGGAGATTGAACTTGGGACCTTACACTTGTGAGGCAGGTGGCAGCACCACTGAGCTAAATCCCCAGCTTCCTGTGTCTTTTTAAAATGGCTTCTTTCCTACTTTCTGGCACAGGCTTATGTCATGTATTTTCCCTGACAAAACCACTTTTCCAAGGAGCTTCATCAGAGTAATCTTCTAAGACTAAATCTGTGTCTTTCTCATGACTTCTTATGGTTTTGAGGACAGATTAATGCCCTCAACATGAACTGCCCAAGACCAAGTCTTCTGAGAAGCTTTCCTCGACTGACGCAGCCGGTATCGATCCCTCTACCCCTTTAAAAAATTTTAATTTTGAGACAGGGAGGTCACTAAGTTTCCTGAGCTGGCCTTGAACTTGCAATTCTCCTTCCTCAGCCTCCCGAGTAGCTGGGTATATACGTGTGTGTCATTGTGCCTGGCTTGCTCTCTCTTCTTAAAGTGACTCCTGCAGGCTATGTATTTCAAAATGTAATGCGCCCTGTGCTCCAACAGTCCCTTGTGAGGAGGATGAAATTCCTATGCTCAGTGAGGGGGGCTCACTGGGGAGGAAAGGCATTTCTGTATGTCCAGATCTTCCACATCCTCTACCAGGATATAGTATTCTCGTGCCACTGTGGCCCCAAGAACCTGAAAATCCTTTCCCTTGACCTGCAGGGATTGGTGATCTCCTTTCATTGCTGGCAGAACTAGACCAGAAAGAAAAAACAAGCAAGAATGTACATTGGGCCAGGTGTGGTAATGCACATCTTCTGTAATCCCAGCATTCAGGAGGCTGAAGCAGGAGGAGAGTCCCAAGTTCAAGCCCAGCCTAGACTACACAGCAAGACTCTGCCTCAAAAAGACAAAAAATAAAAAGAATGTACAATGGACCTAACTGGTTCCTTTTAATTTTTTTTTTTTTTTGGTACCGGGGATCAAACCTCAGGACTTCGTGCTTGCCAGGCAGGTGTGTCACCACTGAGCTAAATCCCCAGCCCAACAGGTATATTTATTTTCATTTCATTTCATTTCATTTCATTTCATTTTATACCGGGGCTCGAACTTGGGACCCTGTGTTGGCGAGGCTGGCAGCAGAACCACTGAGCTAAATTCCCAGCCCTAGGTTCCTTTTAAAGACCTCCAAATATCCCCAAGTCAAATGGCTGTGGGGACCCACATGACAAACATACTGAGGGTGACCAAGGGACATTTTTAAGATTTGTCCCTGATATTGAGATGGCCTTTTCAAAGCTCTCAACCCACCCCCAGGCCTCAGTGACTCCCTCTGGCAAATAGGACTAACCTAAAACTGGGGATAGTGGTGTGGGCCTGAAATTACAGCACTTCGGAAGCTGAGGCAGGAGGATCATCATTAGTTCGAGGCTAGCCTAGGCTACATAGTAAGTTCAAGGCCAGCCTGAAATACATAGCAAGTCCCTATCTCAAAAGGCAAAAAAAAAGAAAGAAAGAAAGAAGGAAAGAAAGAAAGAAAGAAAGAAGATTAACCTATTGTGGTAGAAACAGACATTTCTGGACAGATCAGTCATTATGGGGCACAAAATTACCTATTGGGAAAGGCAATTAATTCAGAGATGGGTCAGTTCCTGTGAAATTTCAAAGCTTTCAGTCTAGTAGGGCACATAAAACATGCAGGTACAAAAATCAGTAGCACTTCTATGGAGTTATCATGAATTATCAGAAAAAAGTTAAGAAAAAATTCCATTTATAATAACTATAAAATAGTAAAATACGTGGGCCAGGAATTAGCTCAGTGGCTCCATGCCTGCCTTGCAAGTTCAAGGTCTTGAGTTTGAGCCCTGGTACCAGGGGGAAAAAAAAAGTAAAATACTCAATAATAAATTTAACCAATAAGATAAAAGATCTCTACATTGAAAACTACAAAACACTGGTGAAAGAACATGAAGATATAAATAAATAATAAAAATATGCTGTGCTCATGGTTTAAATTAGTATTGTTAAAATGTCCACACTACCCAAAGTAATCCATAGATTCAATGTAATCCTTATCAAAATACCAATGACATTCCTTAAAGAAATAGAAAAAAAAATCATAAATTTGCTTGACACCATGGAAGACTTTTAATAGACAAAACAATCTTGATGCAAAAAGAACAAATCTGGAGGCATCACACAACCTGATGTGAAAAATCTATTCCAAAACTACAGTGATCAAAACGGCATGATATTGGCATAAAAACAGACACTAAACCAACGAAACAGAATAGAGAGCCCAGAAATAAATAAACACATTTATGGACAACTGGACTTTGACAAAAATGTCAAAAACACACAATGGAGAAAAAGACAGTCTCTTCAATAAAGAATGTTAAGGATGAATGTTGCACCAGGGATGCCACCTGCCTGGCAAGTGCAAGGTCCCGAGTTTGATCCCCAGTACCCCCCCCAAAAGATAAAAGATAACAAATGTTGGTCAGGATGTGAAGAAAAGGGAACTCTTGCACACTGCTTGTGGGAATGTAAATTAGTACAACCATTCCTGGAAACAGTATAGAAGGTCCTCAAAAAATTAAAAATACATTTACCATATGACCTAACAGTTCTTCTGCTGCTGGGTATACAGCCAAAAGAAAGGAAATCAGTGTGCTAGAGAGATATCCTGTATTAATTACAGCTTTATTCACAAGAGCTGAGATATGGAATCAGTCATTTTTGGTTTTTCTGTGGTACTGGGGATTGAACCCGGGTCATTGCACTTGCGAGGCAGGTGACGGAACCACTGAGCTAAATCCCCAGCCCTGGAATCAGTCTAATAGATGAATACATAAAGAAAAAGTGGCACATATACACAGTGGAATACTATTCAGACTTTATTTTTAGTTTTGTTTTTTTTTTGGTACTGGGGATCAAACTTGGGACCTTGAGCTTGAGAGACAGGTGCAGTGGCACTGAGCTAAATCCCGGGCCCACTATTTAGAATTAAAAGGAAGGAAGCAAAAAAATAAATAAATAAAATAAAATTAAGGAAATCTTGTCATTTACCACCACACTGATGAACCTGGAGGACATTAAGTGAACTAGGTGAGATACACCAAGACAAAATACAGTGTGATACCTCTGTTCACGAATCCTTCTGTTCACAAACAATTCGGTTCCCAAAAAAGCATTCAACAAAATTTTACTTCCATTCACAAACTCCACATCAGGTGACAAACACAACTGCGGCCATCTTCCTTACATGAACATGACCACGGCCATCTTCTCCAAAGTGGTAAAACAAATGAAGTTCAGGAACCAAGGCAGCACTGCACTGTATGAACTCACTTATGTGGAATCTGAAAAAAACGGAACTCATAGAAGCAGACAGGAAACTGGGAGGTACCAGAGGCTAGGGTTTGAAGGTGGGAGAGGTATTAATCAAAGGATACAAAATTTCAGTTAGGAGGAGTAAGGTTTTTTTATTCATTTAAAAGTTAAAAAAAAATTTTAAATTAAATTTTATTTTATCCGCCCCCCCCAAACCTCCTCCCAGAAGGAGTAAGTTTAAGAGATCTATTATTTTTTATTTTCTTTTTCTGTGGTACTCGGGATTGAACCCAGAGCCTCATGCACGCTAGCAAGTGCTCTACCACTGAGCTATGTCCCTGGGCTTTCAAGAGATCTACTACATATCATGGTAGATATAGTTAAAAATATTATATACAGTACTTGAAGTCAGCTAAGAAAATAGATGTTAAGTGTTCTCATCACAAAATAATATGCAGTAATACATGTTAATTATCTTGATTTAGCCATTCCACAATCTATGCATATATCAAAACATCATGCACAAACTTGAAACCAGCCTGGGCTACTTAGTGAGTTAGTGAGACCCCATCTCAAAATAAAAAATAAAACCAAAAAAAGAGCTGGGTATGTAGCTTAGTATGAAGGCCCTGGGTTCAATCCCTAGTACCAATAAAACAAAACAGAACACCCCAATATACTGTATACTATAAATGCACACAATTTTTATTTGTCAGTTAAAAAAAGACACAGCAGGGCATGATTATGCATGTCTGTGATCCCAGCACTTGGAGAGGCTGAGGCCAGCCTGGGGTAGAGTGAGACTTTGCCTCAAAAATAAAATGATAAAAAATTTTAAAAAGACATATAGGTAAATAGTTGCACTGCAAAGGAGGTTCCACCAGCAAAGTCTTCTAGAGAATTTAAAAATCAGGAGAGAAATATTAAGCTACAGCTGGAATGATCTTTCAGAATGTGTGGTGAACTGAGCCCTTATAGACAGGCTGGATTTAGACACAAGTGAAAAGAAAGGAAATCGTTACAGGAAGCAGGGAGTGGAGGAAAAACCTCGCATGTATATATAAACAGAATGACTCAGTGCAGCTGTATCTAAGGGCACCTGAAGGTGAGGGTTTCCTGCTCCTCTGGCCCAGGTCAGTTCCTAAGTCTTCTCCTATCACTAGGCCAAAGAAGGGAGTCACCATCTACTGAACACTCAGGGCACAATCTGAGACATATGCCAGGTCCCACAGGCAGCCCTGAGGCAGTGAGGCTACAGGAGGCGATGAAAGGGCCTGGGAGGCCACAGGGCCCATGGGCTCTCAGATGGCACCCATAGCCCCAGCACAGCTGGGCAGATATCTTCCCAGACTCCCACTCCCCTGCTCAGTAACCCCCTCCACTCCTGGGTTCACACTTTAGCCTCTTTCTACAAACAGGCTCTGTCCACCCAGACACCTTCTGCACCCAGGCAGCTGCAGTGCTGACCCAGTTGGTGCCATCTAGCTGTAGCCCAAAGCTCACCCTTTTTTTTTTTTTTTTTTAGCTCACCTTCTAAACTGCTAGTTTGGCTCTATTACCCACAAACTCCCATTGGGCTCTGCTCTCATTTGTGCCTACACATGGGTGTCAGGCTTTCTGGGCTCCAGTTCTGACTCAGCATGACCCTACGTGAAGCTGAAAAAAGTCTAGACCTCCCTTGGCCTCAGTTTTACTATCTGTAAAATGGGGTGTGCCCACTCTGTGCCTTTCTACCCTTATGGCATATAAAAGAAGAATGATATGGGTAGAAAAGGATTGCAGCTGAGAAGTTAGGTCCCCTCCTGGAGGAGGGTGGGGGGGGCAAGGAGCTTTGATGTAGCCTTTTTCTAAGGTCTGCAGGCTTCCTAGGAAAGCAGTGGGGGAAGGGAGAGGAGGAGAGAGGAAGGAACAGCAAAGCCAAGAGCTTTGGCCTTCTGGGGGGGGTGGGACCACAGGAAGTGAGGTGCTGTCTACAGAGGAAATGTGAAGCAGACACCCCCCAACTCCCCCTCAGCCTGTAGTGGAAAGCAAGTTTCAGCTTTAGGAAACATGGGCCCAGAATTGGGAAAACAGAAGGCAACAGGGTTGGGTGGAAAGGACACAGGAGGGAATCTCTGTGTTGGACACAGTAAGATTCAAGGGGCTCAGTACATCCCACGGACTGGGGGAGTAAGGAGAAGAAAAGCCACTTAAGTAGAGAAACCCAGCACTCTAGTCACATGGTACTAAACTGGCAGTCTTGGCCCAGCTCCTGCCTTCTGTAGTGGCCCATCCCATGTTCTTCAGGACGTGCCCCCTCTAACGCACCAAATATTGCTCTTTTGGCATGTGACTTTCTTTTCTTTTTTAATTGACACAAATTTGAACAGACTTATGTGGCACAGTATTATATACTTCAGTACATGCTTACAATGTACAATGATCAAATCAAGATTCCACGTTTCTTTTCTTTGCAACCCTTATCACAGCTATAATTCTGTAACTATTGATAAATGTGGGCTTTCCTGATCACCTGTATATCCTCAGAGACTAGCACAGCTCCTGACACGCAGTAAGTTCTAAAAATATCTGCTGGCTGAATGAATGGCCCGACCACAGAGGCTGGTTGGGGGTCTAAATCCTGGCATCTGACTGAAAACCAGCATAGGAAGGTGAATGAATTCCGCGAATGCGCTGGGGTCAAATGGGGTCTAGTGTCAAATGCCCCTCATTTATACACTGAAATCTTAACTCCTAAGGTGATTTAATTTGGAGGTCAGGGTCTTTGAGAGGTGATTAGATTGTGGGGGTGGTGCTATCATGAATGAGATTAGTGCTCTTAAAAAAAAAAAAAGCACAAGCTGGGTGTGGTGGCACACACCTGTGATCCCAGCACTCCAGAGACTGAGATAGGATTGGTGCAAACCTGAGCTACATAGTAAACTCAAGGCCAGCGTGAACCAGACAGTGAGACCCTGCCTCAAAAAAAAAGCACAGGGCCGGGGATTTAGCTCAGTGGTTTCGCCGCCTGCTGCACAAGCCCAAGGACCTGAGTTCGATCCCCGGTACCAAAAAAAAAAAAAAAAAGCACAAAGTTGGGCATGAAGACCGAAGCAGGGGCATGAGTTTGAGGCCAGCCTGGGCTACATAGTGAGTTCAAGGCCAGCCTGAAACACATAGTGAGACCCTTTCTCAAAAAACAAAAGTAAATAAATAAATAAATAAATAATTTAAAAGGCCAAGAGAGACCCCTTCACTTTCTAAAGTTCCTCCCAGCTGTGGTCATCCATCCTCTTCTTGTATGACGAGGTAGGGACCAAGCTACCGGACAAGGGAACAGGTAAAGAGGTCTGGCTGGATAAATTTGGGGACTCATCACAGGATGCCACTGCCTTCACCCTCTTTCCTCCCCAAGGCTAGGAGAGAGGCCCTGTACCTCCAGGCTGTGATTTTGGGACACTAGCATCACTATTCAGAAGGTAGTCAGGGCTACTTCTGCCTACATAAGAGCTGGGTCCATTCTAGACTCCCAGGAAGGGGGAAAAGTCTGATCAGGACGGAGGCAGAGGTAGGAGGGTGGGCAAGAGAAGAGTTTGGGATAGTTGGGGGTAAGGTGGGTGAATGACTCCTGGAAGTGCCTGGAGCTGCTGTATACAGGTTCTGGGGTTGTGCAGATCCCTGCACAAAAGGTCCAATTATGGCCCCCACATCAAGCTAGCTGGGAATGAGGTGAATCAGCCCCTGGGAACTCAACTGCTGAGAACTCCAAGCCCAGACCCCAGAAGTTACAGGGTTCCTCACAGTCCTTTCTAGGAAAAACATCATCAATCTTCTACCCAGAAGGTCAGGGGCAGAAACAAATTCAGGTTCTCAGAAACACCTCCCAGTCAAGCCCTGCAGTCAACAGCAGGAACAGCAGAACGGGGTCTTCCCTGCTTTTTAAATTGCTATAATTATATTTATTTCTACTTATTTTTTAAAGCTTAGTGAGTATTAGAGAACTCGCAGAGTTCAAGGACCAGCACACAGTTCAGGGTGGTGTGCCTGACTGGGTTCCTCTCAGCAGCTGGGTTTTTAGAAATCAGTAATAACAGCAATGATAATTCACCTTAATAACAGCCTGGCCTCCACAGGGCTCTTTCATCTGTGTAACTCCCAGAGCTGGGAAAACAGTAATTATGGAGCAGGTGCCACACCCCAATGATGATGTATTATTAATCCATGAGCACTGGCTGGGAAACTGAGGCCCAGGGAAAAGGATCTCACCTCACATGGAGCTAAGGACCTAGCTGCCAAGGGCTGCTGAGCAGGGGGGAACTAGGGGTGCCTGCTCCACACCAGCTGTGTTTTGGGAAGATGCTGAATATAGGGGTATTCATTCCAGACCTGAGTTTGGGGAGAAGATGAGGAAAGACACCAGATACATGTCCCAAGGCCCTCCCCAGGCTGTAGTAGCAGGGTCTGGTACGTAGCTCTGGCTGAGAGTCAGTGCTTCTGCTTCTGTTCTTGAGCCTTTGCATCAGCTTCCCAGGGTACAGCACAGCAGGCCAAAGGCTGCCTAAGCATCTCCACCATCTCTACAGTACACTCTGGCACCAGAGGGTAAGTGAGGGTTCAAACAGCCCCAAGCTACAGGCAGAGTCTGTGAAGAGGGAGTGGGGGATATCTGGCAGCTGGGCAGAGGGATCAGACCAAGAACAGGTCAAGAAGTGGGGATGTAGCTCAGTGGCTTGCCTATCATGCATTATGCCCTAAATTTAACAATCAGCCCTGAAAAAGAGGGGGGTCGGGGAGACTGTTCTTGAACCCCAAGCTCATCTCTATAGCCCCCACTCATCCTTGGCACCAGTCCTAAAATAATGAGGGGCTCCCTACACCAAGACCTCTCTGGTCCTTGTAGAAACTTGCATAGAAGGCCCACTTGACCTATTTACTCTAAATGGGCAGGGTGGGAAGGGCAAAGTCATAGAAGATCAAAGATCTTTTCCCACTGTAGCCACAGAGGGAAAAGCAGAGACTCAAACTAGGAGGGAATGGTAAAGATGGAGGTATTTCATATTCACCCCCAGACTACCATGCGCTGAGCACTGTGGCAGATACAATCTAAACTCCAAGGAAACCCTTACCAATCCAGACAGTAACTAATGACCTTATCCTCCAGGATGGTGTCAAAGGGGAAATATTAAGGGAGATTTGAAGTTTTCTTCAGCATTATAGAAATCAGACTAGCATTCCTGGGAGACCTTGGGATAATACTCTAACCCTCTAGGGCCCCTCTCTGGAATCTAGGTTCAACAACTGGCCTTCTCTGCTTTAAATACAACCAGGGTCCCACATGAATGAAAAATAAAGGCAGAATGCTAACATAAAACTTAACAGACCAGAGTCAACAGTCCTGCCTCTGATACCACCATATGAATCACTTCCCGCTCTGGACTTCAGTTTCCCCATTTTTTTTTTTTGTCACCAGGGATCGAACTCAGGACCTTGAGCTTTCAAGGCAGGCGCTGTAACCACTGAGCTAAATCCCCGGCCCAAGTTTCCCCACTTTTAATGTAAGGGCATTGGACTAGAGTGTCTCTAGGATTTCTTCCAGCCTGTGGAAGCTCTGTGCTGTTTTGATGTGGTGGCAGATCTCAGGTCGATTTACATAAATTTGCATGTTCAATCAGAAATCCCAAACTCCAAGTATAGAAAATCCAATCATCCATTAGTGTAGCCAGACAGGCTGGAGTCGCCTGCCAGGTTCGGATGAGGGCTGTCAAAGCAGATTGTGGTAGTAACAGTGACTTGGGGAAGAGACTGGGGGAAGCAGGAGTGAGAATGGACATTTGTTCTGAGAGAGGCAGCTCTGGTCACCCCAGAATGCCAGTAACCCCACTCTGACTATGAGGCAAGAGTCCTTTCTCCTCCTACTTCTAACGGAGCCTCTGGCTGGCTAGCCTACAGCCACACCCCAAGAAGGAACAGCAGTCTCTGCCTAGCAACAGCTGCATCCTTCACCGACAGGGATTCCACTATGAGCCACTTTCTGGGAAAATGACCTCCGTGGGAGCTTTCATTATCCATTCCAAGGGCGCACAGCAGTGAGGAAGGTTTCTTTGGGGTCTAACATAAATGCCTCCTGTGGCAACTTCACCAACAGTGTCCTGGGCAGAGGGTTCCCAGGCCCAGGAGAGTAGGCAGAGGGAAAAGCAGTGCAGGAGAATGTGCCTCATACCCAGCCAGTCCCAGGGCCTCTTTAACCACCACTTCTCCTTTAACATTCCTCTTTACCTGGGAGACCAAAGATGAAAACAAACAAGAAGAACAGGAGGCCTTTTGCCTCTTGGGCTGGGGAGCAAGTCTCAACCTGGAGAGATTGACTTTGAGAAAGTCCTATCCCCAGGAACAAAGAGGCTGGGAAAGGTGGGGTCAGGACAGCTTCTCTTCGATGCTCCTTGGCTGGATGAGGGCAGTGGGATGATTCCTTAGCTCCCTGCCTAGGGGCTGGGGTTCTGAGTCCAGAGCCAGGTAGGAAGGGCCAGGGAGTGGGATGGGAAACAGCAGTGGGGCCCTCCTTGCCCTCTTCCCACAGAGTAGCTGAGTACGCTGTGCTCCCTGGCCCAGAACCTAAAACAAGTCCCAACAGCTGGGATGCAAGCTGTCTCCTGGGAATCCTGCTGGCCCTTGGCTGCCTCCTCTATTCTCAACCCCTCCCCAAAGGCCCAACTCAAAGAGTGGCCCAGCCAGGATGTCTCACCAGAGGTCTTGATGGGTGGGCCAAACCCATGCCAGCAGGAGTTCATATCCCAAGGCACCAGGAGTGTGCAGAACAATGACTGTTTTGAGAACAGCCAGGCAGGATGAGGGAGTCTGCTTCTTTAATCCTAAGTAACTGTGACAACCACCTCCTTAGCTCTCTACATGGAGCCACCCTGCCAAAGGACCGTTCTCCCTTCTAGTGACCCACCAGTGGAACCATCCAATATAAAAAAGTGAAAGGGAATTTTAGACCTTTCTAGTCCCACTAAATTTTAAAGGGGAAAGAGACTGAGCCTCCGAGAGGCAAACTATCTTGGCTAAGGTCACACAGCAGACTAGGAAGATCAGGGCTGAGTTTCTAACTCTCAGGGCATAGGTTTCTACCTGCCTGCCATGAAGTACCTACTCCTCTGCAGCCCACGACGTCACCTCTCTAGGTTCTCTCTCTTCAGAGGCATGAGTGGAGAAGGACGTTGGAAGGCTGAAGCCACCTCACACATGGACCTGATTTTGAGAACAAATTTGAACTATATAGGAATACTCTCTTCAGACAGGAAGATGGGGTTTCTCTAGGCTAAGAACCCAGTGATCCCAGTTTGTTCTTAGAAGTGTGTGTTTGGGAAGAGGCCAATTTGAGAAGTGAATTTTGTTGCTCTTCTGGCCACACAAGGGGTCTCTGAGAGCCAACCGGGAAGATGTCTTCAGGATAAGTCTGCGACAAGGCAGGTGGGTTACATTCATTTTCCACAAAAGTACTGACCACACAGTGGTTAGATATGGACTCCTCTCTCCACTGTTCCCCAAGGACCACCCTTGTTCCTGGTCTCTTCTTCCAACTACTTCCTCTGGCTGACAAGTGCGCTTAGACAGGAGGACCCATGGCGGAGGGGCGGAGCGGCAAGGAGGGAACAGAGGGGACGCCTTTAAGCTCCCTGGCCCCTCAGGAAGGCAGGCCTTTAAAAAGCAGCTGCTGGGCGGGCTCAGTTGATCCAGGACTGAGCCGCCTGGAAAATCAGGCCTATGGGAGGAAAGGGCTCTCTGTGCCCTTGGGGCAGTGCCAGGACTGGAGAGACTGAGCGACTTTCGGTCTAGCATAAAGAGAAGCTAGGGTACAACAGCCGCTTTCCTAGGAAGGCTAAACCAGGGGAGTGGCGGGTACAGACAGATTCTCTGCATTCTTCTGGCACCGCAGTCAGGACACGGAGAACCTTTTCCGCAGGCACTGCCCGGTCCCTACTCCCTGCCCAACCCCTCTCTCTCCCTCAGCCTCTCTTCAGGGTGCACTCGGCCAGGCTTCTATCTTCTTCTCGCAGCCCCTCAAAGCCTCAGAAGGGCTGTTCCCAGAGACTGGGTCTCCCCGCCTCCTCGCGCCTCCCCCACGCCCTACCGCCCTAGGCCACAGGGACTGAAGGAGTGAGAAGAGCAGCCCCAGGCTCGTTTCTGCGCCTGCGCTTGGGGGAGAGCGCCCCCCAACCCTGCACCGCGGCGCAACACCAGACTGTGGGATTCGGGTGGGGTGGGATGCGCAGCTGGGACAAGGTCAATGCTTTCAGAGAGGGAGGGAGGCCGGCCACCGGAACATCCCCCAATCCGGAAAGTTTCCCTTCCGGGGCCACGGAGTGTGCGCGAGGATGGCGCAGGGGGCGGGAGGGGGTGGGGTAGGGTGGACAGAGTCGCAGCCTGACCCCCTGGGACAGTGCGGCGGGAGGGAGGGGCAGGCGGCGAGAGGAGGGCAGGAAGCCGTGGCGCCCCCTACGACCCAAGGTTGCCAGAAGAGCCGTACTCTGCACACTCCCCAGCCCCTCGACCGGAGCTTACAGAGCCCCCTACCACCTTACGGCCCTTTAAATCCCAAGTAGGCCTGGAACTCACCGAAATCAGGTGTTGAGCTGGGCCAGGGCAAGCCAGATCTGCCGGGTCCATGGCCGCGGCTCGGGGGCGGGGGGCAGAGAAAGGGGGGAACCGGAGCCGCCTCTTGATGTCAAGGCTTTAAAGGGGCCAGTGAGTCCCGCCCCTCGCCAAGACCCCGCCTTCCTCCTCCAGCACAACCAATCCTCATCCATTCTGGCTGCACGCTCCTCCCAGCTCCCCGCCAGATGGTCCCAGGACGAGAGCTAAGTCTGCCGGGCTGGCGCGCGCCGCTTCCGCCCGGGTAGGAAGGGCCTCCCCACCCCCAATGGAGAAACAGTCTCCGCAGCCCGGCTTGGTAAACCTTACCAATGTCTTGGTAGGGGACTCCGGGCTGGTTCAAGGGGGTGGGTGAGCGGGGCGTCCAGAGCAAACTAGGTAATACCCGAGCCCACGGGCGTGCGCGTCCGCTTCTGTGGGGCTAGACTTGCACGTGTATATTTGGTTGTGAGCGTTGGTGTTTGTAATTTGTCTTTCTGCGTATGTGTTGAGTGTAAGTCCATGGGTTTACACTTAAGTCCCTCCTTGGCCTTGAATGCTCCTGCTTTCTTCTTCCACGATCTTTCCTGGAGAACTGGGCGCTAGGAACAGGCGCTGCCTGTCAGAGAGCAGTGTTGCCCCTTTTATTCTTCATTGGTTTAAAAGAGGGGTAGGCAGTATACAAAAAAGAATATAGCATTTTGGCCACTTGCTATCTCTGGGGAGACCAGTTCTAGCCATCTGTGTGAAGAGGAAACAAGCTCAACAACCCACCCAGGCCCCTGCAGAGACTTCTGAGCCCTCTCAATACCATTCTCGTTGGTCTTTAAACATCTGTTTGTCGGGATGTATTATAATCTTCACAACTCAAATTGTACTGATTGGCCCACATATGCAGGTTCTGAACTAAGTTCTACAAGGAAATACAAAGGAGACCTAGACACTTGTCTGCTTATTTTATTAAAATTGCTTCTCTTGTAGGTATACACAGGATGTGACTTAAAGCATCCAATATAGTCCAATGAAGGAACATACACAGTGAGGGAACATTGGATGGTCACACTGGTTAGGATGAAGAGTTCCTCTCTGAAAGAGGCTTTTTATTTAAAGTGGGATGTGAAGAAATTTGAGCAGGATTCAGGCAAGATAAAGACAGAGGAGAATCAGAAAAGAGCAAATTGTCAGCATGGGCCAGTGTTCAGGTTAAATTAGTAGGGTGGAAAGTGACAAGTTAATGCAGAAGGTTTTGTATGGAGATCAGAATGATACAGATTTGACAGAGGAGAAAAGTTATTTTGGGTTCTTGAGCCCAGGGATAACTTGATAAAAACAGTGTCTGAGGACAGTTGTTGGAGCCTAAAAGATGGTATGACATTTACTCTTGCCAACTCTCAAAAAAAATTTTTTTTTCCAGTACAGAATGAACCCAGAACCTTCACACTGAGCTACATCGCTATCTCTTTTCTGAATTTTTGTAGTTTGAGGAAGTGTCTTGCTAAGTTGTACAGGCTGGGCTTGAAATTGGATCTTTCAGAATGCTGGGATTACAGCTGTGTGCCTCTATGCCCAGCTCAATTTTTTGCTTTAAAAAAATTTTATTTTACAAAAATTTGTACCACTATGCCTGGCTTAGTAGTCTATTTTTTTATTATGTGATATTTCATTGTATGATTGTATCACAACTTATTTACTCTCCAGTTGATAGATATTTGGGTGTTTCCAGATTGGAGCTTTATTTATTTATTCTTTTTTGTGAGACAGGGTCTCACTATATAGTCCAGGCTGGCCTTAGCCTCCTGGGTGCTGGGAATACAAGCGTATGCCACCATACCTGGCTGGGGCTATTGTGAATAAAACTGCTATAGATATTCTTGTGCAAATCTTTTTATGGACAAACATTTTCACCTTATTTTTTGATGATATATAATGGCATCTTTGGGACCTTACAGCATTGACTCTTACTCAGTCATCCAATATTTATTTATTTATTTATTTATTTATTTATTTTTGGTACCAGGGATTGAATTGGGGTCCTTGCAGCTTGTGCAGCAGGTGGCGAAACCACTGAGCTAAATCCCTGGCCCATCCAATATTTATTAAATAGGGATCAGTGGACTAGTCCTGGGATAACAAAAATTGGACATAGTCCTTTCTAAGTCTTTGAGAGAAAAACCTTAAGTCTGTCAGGCAATTAAAACTATTTTTGGATGCTTACAAATAACTGAATTTTTGGAAACAGAACATCGACATGACTTTTACTATTCATTCAGATGTATGCCCTTGTTTAATGATCACAGCTTGAACATCTGCACTTTTCAGAGGAAGTAATTTCCCTCCTTACAGGGTTTTACACACTTGATAGTTTAGGTGTTCAAATTTTGTAGATTCTCTATTGTTATGGCTTGTGTTTAGATGTCCCCCCAAAGCCTCATGCAGATGAGGTGGGGCTTTCTTGGGAGCTACAACCATCAACAGTGCCGCAGGGGCAGAGCCACCCAAGCCCTTTGGAGTTCATAACTTGCCCCAGATAGCCAGGGATAGTGGAAGTGGAACTGTGGGATTTAATGTTTGCCCTGCTGGATTTTGGATTTGCTTTGTTCCCATTCCTTTGTATACTGCTGTCTGTAATTTTTGGAATGGAAATGTCTATCTTGTGCCATTGAATGTTGGAAGTGTTTAACTTTCTTTTCATTTGTACAGGGGCTTGCAGCTAAGAATTTCCCATAAATCTCAGAGGAGGGCCAGGGATTTAGCTCAGTGGCTCCATGCCTGATCACAAGCACAAGGTCCTGAGTTTGATCCCTGGTACCAAAAAAAAAAAAAACATCTCGGAGGAGACTTAGGACTTAGACTTTTCAGCAAGGCTGAAACCTGTTAGGACTTTGGCAACTCCTGGAGATGGACTAAATGCTTTTTTGCATAAAGGGATGTGCATGAGTCTTTGGAGGGCCAAGGGCGGAATGTTATGGCTTGTGTTTAGATGTTCTCTCAAAGCTGCATGTGGATGAGGTGGAGCTTTCTTTTTCAGAGGTGGCTCAATCTGGACTGTGTGATGCTGGGATTAAGGGCATGTGATTACTGAACATGTGAGTGATTGGTTTGGCACCACCTTCATCCCAGTAGTCTGGATGAGATAAAAGGGGCAGAAAGATGCTGTTAAGGTCTCTTATAGCTTTTTGCTGTCTTCAGCTGCCATGAATTGTTGCTCCTCTGCCACCCTGGCTTGGAGCCAGGCAATTATGGACTGAAACTTCTATAAACTGTAAGCCAAATAAACCTTTCCTCCTTTAACTTGGGTGTTGGGTATTTTGTCTCAGCAATGAGAGAAAAGTAACTAGTACATCTATGCGTCACAAACTTCATTCTCGGTGACAGGAGGTAAACGATTAGCTACTATTGACTGCTCCATAATTCTTTTGTCTTCCATGACGTTTAAAACATTTTCATTCTCAGTGCTGTTATTCACTTATTAAAAATTAGAATTCCAAAGTTGGTTCTCTACTCGTGTTATATACTAATCAAATATTGTCCTTTCCTCAAGTTGTTATAAAACAAGCTAGGCTTCTTAGGTGTCTGGAGCTGTAAGCTGTTGGTAATAAACCAGATCAGTGGTGTGGTCTAACTCTAGATGATCTCAGAGAACTACCCCCTCACTGCTCACATCAGCAATTTGAAATGGGGTTCTTGGGTTCAAGTACTGTGTGGTTATTCATTCAGTGTTAAGGCACTTTACCCCTTGGGGTTGACACAGCTATTTAGCCACTCCTTAGATCAGGAGCTGGCAAATGGTCTCTCTAACATTTTAATCTGGCTCTTCTCTAGGTTGGATTGACTCCCAAGCACAATTTTGATATCCTTCCTGCTTGGTAAGAGGAAGAAAGGAGCTGATTAGCCTGGGCAACTTAGCAAGATCCTGTCTCAAAATAAAAAAATACAAAGGGCTGGAATGTAGTTCAGGGCCCCTGAGTTCAGTTCCTAGTACTGGGGGTAGAAATAAGGGAAGGAGCTGGTTAATATTTGGTTCATTTACTGAATAGGTGTAGATCTTTGCTACCGCTGCTTAATTCTACATGGGACAATCACATTCCTTGGATTCTGACAGGACACCAATAATGTGCTTTGAAACTTCTTACCTGACATAGAATGGACCTGCTCAAGTCCTTGAGCTTCTTTTTTCTTCATGCCTGTATTCAAAAATATTTTTATTAAGCCTTTACTGTATGCCACTTGCTATGCATACAGAACTAGGTAAGTAATAAAGAAATTCTTAGAGGGTAGGAGATGCAATGAAATTGGACAGGTAAGCACTGCAAAGATCACACTTTATCCTAAAAACAACCAGTGCCTTTGAGTTGTTTTAAGCAGGGGGTGACATAATCAGATTTGCATTTTAGAAAGATCACTATGGTTGCAGTGTGCAAAAGAGAAAGCAAGATTGAAATCAGAGACACCACACAGAAAGTTTCTATAGTAATTGAGGAGAAAAATGAGAAATGATGTGATCTGGTCTAAGAACACCAAAGAGGTGATGTATAGGAGATAACTTCAAGAAGTAAATAGCAGTAGAGTCAACAGACATTGGTATTAGAAGTAGAGGGAAGCAAGACAGCTAAACCAAGACCTCTGGAATGGGTAATTTGCAGGTGGCAAGGCAACTGACTAAACCAGAAACACTGGAGAAGAGGAAGTTTAGGAGATGATATGTCTACTCCCAACCAAGAGGTCAGAGCTTCTCAACTATTTTGCCTCAGGAAGAGGTTGTAGATGTGCTATATATTGATCTTCTGAATTCTTAGGGTAGCCAAGTCTCCTGAAGACAAAGCAGTCTTGCATATGCTGGATTGCATCATTCAATGTAGAAAAACCTCATCATTTTCTATGGTCAGGCATGGTGGTGCATACCTGTAATCCCAGCATTGGGGAGGCTGAGGCAGGAAGATTACTGTGAGTTGGAGGCCAGCATGGGCTACATAGCTCAAGGCCAGCCTTAACTACACAGTGAGACCCCTGTCTCAAAAACTAAAAACCAAAACCTAAACAAAAAACCCCCCATCATTTCCAGTTTGCTTTTTTGAGACAAGGTCTCACTTTGTAGTCTAGGCTGGCCTTGAACTCACTATGCAGCCCAGGTGGGCTTCGAACTCTTGGTGATTCTTTTGCTTCAGCCTCCCAAGTGTGGAGATTACAGGCGTGCACCATCACACCCGGCTTCCCATCATTTTCTGTGTGTGCCATGATATAGAAAAGGCTGGGAAGCACTCTTGTAGGCTGCTGGATAAATAATTCTGAAGCTCAGAGGCAGGATCTGTACTAAAGAGATTTGTGAGTCATCAAAACATTGGGGATCACTGAAGCCATGGGATGGAAAAGATCATGCAAGAGGAGAAGGGCTGGAACAGAATCTCAAGGAATACCAACATTAGATAGGGGTCTCCAGAGATGGAAAACGGGATGGCACTGGCACCAGGGCCCGACAAAGGAAAAAAAAAAGACCAAGTAGTTCCTACTGTTGCTGAGGTCAGTTGAATCAGGACAGAGACATCCTTGCTACCTACTGCCACATGTTAATGAGGACTTTGGCAAAACCAGAATTTCTTTTTTTTTTTTTTTTTGAGACAGGGTCTATGCATGTACTTCAGACTGGCCTTGAACTCACTATGTAGCCCAGGGTGGCCTCAAACTCGAGGCAATCTTCCTGCCCCAGCCTCCCAAGTGCTAGGATTACAGACATGCACACTGAGAAAGACCAAAGCAAGCATAGAGACAGGAAGTGTTTAAAACTCTTCCAGAAGCTGGGCATGGTGGCGCAGGCCTGTAATCCCAGCACTTGGGTGGCTGAGGCAGGAGGATTACTGCGAGTTCGAGGCCAGCCTTGGGTACATAGTGAGCTTAAGGACAGCCTCAACTACAGAGCAAGACCCTGTCTCAAAAAACAAAAACAAACAAAACAAACCCAAAAAACAAAACTCTTCCAGGAATTTTGGCCATGCCACCAGGGAAAAAAAATAGGCAGATAGATGGGTGGGGCAGTAGAGGATGAGTTATTTTATAAAGTCATTTCTAGGGCTGGGGATTTAGCTCAGTGGTTCCACCGCCTGCCTTGAAAGCGGAAGGACCCGAGTTCGATCCCTGGTACCAAAAAAAAAAAAGTTATTTCTAGACAGGGCTGAGGATTTAGCTCAGTGGCACCATGCCTGCCCTGCAAGCGCAAGGTCCTGAGTTCGATTCCTGATACAAGAAAAAGTTATTTTTAGAAAGATACTATTTAATTAAAATTATTTACAGTTAGTTTTTTTTTTTTTTTCCATACCAGGGATTGAACGAATGACCTTGTGCTTGCCAGGCAGGCGCAGTGCCAGAGCGACATCCCTGGCCCTTACAATTAGTTTTTTCTTTTTTTGGTACTGGGGATTGAACTTGGGACCTTGTACTTCCAAGGCAGACAGCAGCACCACTGAGCTAAATCCCTAGCCCTACAATTAGTTCTTAAAAAGTAGTATGTATGATTAAAAATTAGCACAGAAGCAATTATTTGGTGCATTTCCCAGCTCAGCAATGAGCCATTTTAATCTTTTGCTTAATTTTTCTATGTGATTAAATATGCTTATACTGGTACTTTTTTCTTTCTGTTTTATTACCTTATATGTGTATATTCTTTTATTTCTGTTTTTTGGTACCGCGGATCGAACTCGGGTCCTTGCACTTATACAGCAGGTGGCGAAACCACTGAGCTAAATCCCCGGCCCTATATTCTTTTAAAAAGATAGAAAAGCAGGATCTTACTATGCATAGTACTCTGGACCCTACTTCTTACACTTAAAGTATCTTGGGCCAGGGATTTAGCTCAGTGGTTCGTTCCTGCGCCTGCCTCGCAAGTGCACAGTCCCGAGTTTGATCCCCTGTACCCTTCCCCCCAAAAAACCCCCAAACAAAACACTTGGAGACTTTTTCATATTAGCATATTTAGATTTACTTTGTTCTCTTTAACGACTGCATAGTAATTCATTTCAATTGTCCCACATTATTTCCTACTGATGACCATTTAGGTTGTTTCCAGGTTTTCACTTTAACCAACTCAATGTAATGGATTAACCCTGCACATATATCCTTGGATATGTGTGTGAGTACATCTGCAGGACAGATCTCTAATGATGAAATTTCTGGGAATGTACAATATTCAATATTCATTTTTATAAATACTGGAAAATTGCCTTCCAAAATGGTCATACTAACTTTTTTAAGCGATAAAACAGATTTTATTCAAGAACTAGTGCAATGGAAGAAAAGAGAACTAAGTACAGAATTAGGTTCTATTCTGAATACAAGGACAAGTGGGAATTTATAGTCAAGCAGAGGAAATACTGGAGTAAGGGGGAATCAGCTAAAGTGACTTGTCAGATTCTTAGTGGAAGATTTTTCTACATTTTCATCAACACTGTTTAAAAAAATCTGTGACTATTATAGAGATCTAAATGATTAAGACAAAAAAATTTTTTTGAGGCAAGGTCTCATTGTAGTTCAGTGTTGTCTTGAACTCATGGTGATTCTCTAGCCTCAATCATTGTTTTTATTTGCATGTAATTAACAAGATTAAACAAGTTTTCAGGTGCTTATCTGCCATTACTTTCTATGAATGTCTTCTCTGATAGATTTTTTGAGTATTTTATAATAAAGTTAGCTCTTTGTCATATGCACTGCAAAGTTTTCCTAGTTAGTAGTTTGTCATGCAACTTTATTGGACATTTCTTTCCTTTTTACCTTAGTCAAATTATTTTTTTCCTTTATGGTTTTAAATGTTTTGTGAAGTATTTCAATTTTTAAAATTGCTTTTATTTTCTAGTATGTTTTCTCTTTACTTATAAATATTCCACCCCGAATCCAATTAAGTGCCAAAGATCACCATTACTTCCTGTCCAGAATGACAGCCACAACCCACACCAGCCCATCTGTCTAAATGTGGAAACACTAGGGCCTGTGTGTCCTTTTCTCCAGAGAATGCTCTTTCCTGTCTGTTGTTCCACACTATATTTCTTGCAGACAAACTTGTGTGACATCCTCCATAGTCTTCCATGCCAATAGACTTTTCCTTTTCCAAACCTCTTATGATCACTTGTTATCTTGTGTGTGCCTCTCCTCTCAACTTTAACCTATTTGCTGAATGAATGGCATTTAATCTTTAGAAGTCTGGGTTGGTTTTTTTCCCCTGGTACTGGGGATTGAACTCAAGACCTTGCACTTGCAAGGCAGGCATGGCGGCACTGAGCTAAATCCCCAGCCCCTGGGGTTAATCTACTTTTCTCTCCTACTCTGGTAGCAGCTAAAAGCATGCTAAGCCTATCAAAGAAATTAGACACAGTACTTTTTTTTGGTGGTGGTGGTGATGGTACTGGGAATTGAACTCATGGCCTTAACTGAGCTATATCCCCAGCCCTTTTTATAATCACATTTTTGAGACAGTCTTCCTGAGTTGCTGGCTTGGAACTTGTCATCCTCCTGCCTCAGCCTCCCATGTAGCTAGTATTACAACTGTGTGCCATTGTGCCTGGCTACAATTCTTTACTTTGGTGGTTCTGGGAATTGAACACCATCACTGAACTAGATCCCGAGCTTTTTAAAAAATTCTGAGATAGGGTCTTGCTAAATTGTCCAGGCCGGCTTGGAACGTGGATCTTCCTGCCTTAGCCTTCCAAGTAGCTGGGATTACAGGCATGCACCATGGCACCTGACTCATAATACTTAATTTGCCATGAAATTGTATGGATTAGCTACATATAGCTAATGAATATCTGAAGTATATAGCTGGTCCAATGGAGAGACTTTGAAGACTTAGTATACAAAAAAGTATCTCATTTTTATATTGACTGCATGTTGAAATGATAGTATTTTAGAGATTCTAGATTACATAGAATATATTTTTTTAAATGTTAAAGTATACCCAGGGTCATTCTCTATTTCTTATTCATCAAGAAGGCTCATCACGCTTGCGGTTGACTCTTAAGTTAGGCTGATTTGAGGATAAATAAGATGATCTTTTCTTGCAGCTGAAGGTATTCTCACCATCTCCAAGGGCTCTCATACACCCCTATGCAATCACTGTCTTCTTGGTACCAGGTCTTCATCTTTATGAGTGCTAATTACACATTTTCTTCTAAACTGCTGCAGATTTGAAATACAACAGTTTGTCCTAACAAGTCAGGTAATTGCTCAGTCAATAGTCAGTTACTAGGGAACGAGTCAGTTACTAGAGAACAAGCATCTCCCAAATCTTTTTGTGGTTTAAGTTTCAACTAACCATGCAGAGGGGCCTTTTTTGTTTTGTTTGTTTTGTTGAGACAGGGTCTCACCATGTAGTCCAGGCTGGCCTCAAACTCAAAGCCATCCTCCTGCCTCAGACTCCCAAGTGCTGGGATTCCAGGAGTGCACCACCACGCCCAGCTCCCTGGGGCCATTTTCTGCCATTAAGTTGTTTGGGACAGGTGTCAGTTGGCCTTGAAAGCCAGCCTTCTTGTAGTCAGAGTCCCTGTATTAGTTTCCTTTTATTGCTGTAACAAATCATGACAGATTCCATGGTTTAAATCAGCACAAGTTTATTCTCTTACAGTGCTGGAGGCCAGAAATCTAAAATCAAGGTGTTAGCAGGATTGCAGTTCCTTCTGCTACGTAAGATAACGTTCAGGGATTGGTACAGACATCTTAGGGTTCTATTACTCCTTCTACCACAGTCCCATAGACATTTCCTTGCCCTTCTTTGGCAAAGGGTAATAGGAAAGAGCACCTAGCAGGGAAATAAAGTTGCAAAGGGTTTCCTAAAGTAAAGTCTACAGAGAATGGGTAAGTTCATCTCCGTAATCACTGGTGATCACTGTGAGACCATTAAAAACTGGCTTCATCTCCATTAGTTCCATATCCCTCCCTCTCAACACTACTTCTGAAAAACACAGAATAGTAAGATGCATGTTTTCTATGAGTTTTTTTCCCCATAAGCCTTTGGTCTCATAGGCATAAATATCTGCAGCATGCTTACAGGGTGTTATCAGAAGTTAATAGTGCCTTACTTTTATTTAACAAAATATTCTGCAAAATGCCTTCATGTCTCTTATCTCACTTGGGCATAGGAAACGAAAAGTTGTTATTTGAGTTGTACAGATGAATAAACTGTGGCTACATGGTAGGGAATGGGGAAGTAGGTGGCTTAACACAGAAACCAGCCACATAGATGGAATAAATTTGGTGAATTTGCGACTATTTCAATGTGGGGGATATGAAGGAAGAGTCAACACAAGTTTTTTAGCTTGGGCAATCAATGAATGCCACCAATAGTATTAGGTTTGGAAAGAGGATGAGTTTGCTTTTGGGATACGATGAATTTGATATGCCAAAGAACTATTTAGGGGGATTATTTCAAGATAGGAAAAATATTAATTAGTCTGGAATCATGGACCAGGGCTACCAATATATTTAGGAGCGTTAGTATGTAAGCAGTTGTTAAAGGCATGAGTGGAAGAACTGACCCCAGGAAAAATATGTAGAAGCCTAGACAGAAACCAAAAAACCCCCCAAGCATTCAAAGTGTTACCCATTTCTGGTTACATCAGAATCCCAAGGTAACTGTTTAAAACAGAATCCTCAGAGACTGGGGATTTAGCTCAGTAGTTCGGTTGCCTGCCTTGCAAACACAAAGACCCGAGTTCGATCCCTGGTACCAAACAAACAAACACAGAATCCTCAACCTGAATGTAATTAATGCCACAGAACTGTACACTTGAAAATTGTTAGAATTGGGGCTGAGGATTTAGCTCAGTGGTTCCACCGCCTGCCCTGCAAGTGCAAGGATCACAGTTCGATCCCCGGTACCAAAAAAAAAAAAAATTGTTAGAATGTTAAGTTTTGTTATGTATCTTTTACCACAATAAAAGAATGCAACAAAATAGATTCCTAAACCTCAGACCTGAATCATCACCATGGGTTCATAATTTAAAGCTTTTAAACATCTTTTAAATGCTACTTAATACATCTTTTCTAGTATTTCTAAGTGCTATGCCCAGCCTGGGCATATTAGAGAATTGACGTGTTCTAGAAAGATGGTGCTTTTCCTAGTAACCACTTCCTTTAGCCTGGTCCATGACTCTTCATTTTAGACTGGACTGTGAGGTTTTTCCCAAAGGTAGGCCCAAAGTCCAGAAAACACCTGGGGAAACAAGATCAGATTTAAGGAGCCTAGGGAGCTGACACACTCTAAGGCTACCTTCATCTTTATAATATCCCCTAAAGTTCCAGGTGTGATGATGCACACCTGAAGTCCCAGCTCTGGGGAAGGTGAGGCAGGAGGATGCCCATGAGTTTCAGGCCAGCCTGGGTTACATAGTGAGTTTAAGGCCAGCCTGCACTACAAAGTAAGACCCTGTCTCAAAAGACAAAAACAAAAATAAATAACTCCTAAAGGCTGGATATGTGGCTCAACAGTAAAGCATGTGTTTAGCATGCCCAAGGCCCTGGGTTCCAATCCCTAGCACCACAAAACAATTCGTCCTCCTCAGGGATTGTCTCAATGGGGACTAGGTATTCTTTCTGTTGCAAGCCTTGGATATTTTGCCAAAAGCTTCTGTGATATTTTTAAGATACCTGACTGTTGCAAGACAGTGAACATAATTCTCAGTATAAAACCATTTTATCGGGCCGGGGATTTAACTCAGTGGTTTCGCCGCCTGCTGTGCAAGCCCAAGGACCCAAGTTCAATCCCCGGTACCAAAAAAACCACCATTTTATCAGTGGTTCCACCACCTGCCTTGCAAGTGAAAGGTCTGGGGTTCAATCTCCGGTACCAAACAAATAAACAAAAAACCATTTTAATTTCTCTTTCCTGGTTTTCCTGCCCTGTCATCTCACTGCCTCCAGAATCTTAATCTGTTCCTTTCTTTCTCTTCTTCTATCAGTGATTCAGGGATTGGATAATTCTCTATGGTATGTTTTGCCTTGAAGAGCAAAAGGCTTCGGTCCCAACTGGTATTGCCAAAGCAGCACACTAATTCCATGCCATGGTCCTGGGTCAAGATCTGTACAATTTGATTGGCCATGTCACCTTGGATGGCGAGTGAGCGGAAGTGGTCAAAATCATGGAGTCCCAGCTTTCGGAGACGCCTTGCAGCTGCCCGGTAACACTTCCAAGGCTGAGGCTCCACAAGGAGGTAGCAGCAGAGAGAGGAAAGATGGGCTAAGAATTCCCACAAGCCTTGGTCCCCATGATTCAGATGAATCCACATAGTTATCGACATGCAGAAGCCAATGTCAAAAACTGAACATTCAAACTGGTTTAAGAAAGAGCTCAAGAGAACCTTCCGGGTCCTGTGATTCATGAAGTCCAAGGTGATAAAGGTCAAGGCATCAGGAAACGGACATTCTTTTTCAGCTCGTTTCACCAGGCCTGGATCTATGTCACAGCAGAGGAAACGGAGTTCTCTGGAGGCATCTGAGCAGGTCTTCCCATCATGTAGGGAAAGGAAGTGTTTGTATAGAGCCACACTCAGATCCTAGAGGAATCCAAAAGAGCTTTGTCATTGGAGCTCTCAACCAGTGAATGGAAGAGAAAGCTATCTCACATTCTCTGAGCCTGCCACTTAACCTTTGGTTTTATGGAATGTGAAACTCCTAAACTTTAAGCCAGGGGAATTGTGGTTTTTCACGAGCAGAATTTCAGCGCCCTCCAGGGGCCACAGGCTATAATGCATCTTCCCTACATTTTCCTGACTCAGCAAAGAAGCCTCAAGCACTATTTTCCAGCCCAAGTAATATGCTAGTAAACTCATTATCTTTTTCTGGGTACCTCAGACTCAAGGGAGAAGGAAAGTGATCCAGAAACATAATCAGTGTCCCTCAACAGGTAGGTGAGGAATTTTACACCACTTAGGAAAATCTGTTTCTTATCCTGTAGCTGGGAAAGTCTGGATTCCAAAAAGTTTTCAATCAGCCTTTATCCTATGGCTTTCAATTTCATTATCTTATATTTTACCAGTTCCTTCTGAGACTTAGTCTACTTCTACAGCTATCGCTAATTAAGTCACTTCTGAACTTCTTTTTAGCCAAATCCAATGATTTATGATTTTTATCATCTTAGCATCTTTTTGACTCTTAACCATCATCATATGCTTTTTTATTTTGATTCCTATGACCCTTAAAACTAACTCTGTAATCCCAGTACCCAGGAGGCTGAGGCAGGAGGATCATCTAGAGAGGCCAGTCTGGGCTTGATAGTTCGGGGCCAGCCTGAACCACATAGCGAGAACCTGTCTCAAGGAAAAAAAAAGAGAGAGAGAAAAGAAAACTCAGTGCAACAACATGGATTATTCTCACAAACGTATACTGCTGGTTAAAAAAAAAAAAGCAAGCTATAATAGAAAATATATGCCAAGCTTCCACTTATATGAAGTCTAAAATAGGTAAAATCAAACCACATTAAGGATAGAAAAATAGTAAGCTATTTAAAAAAGGCAGAAAACACTATGGCCAGTTTTTACCTCTGGATGAAGAGGAGGTTTTTTGAAAAGGAAAAGGTATATGAGGGGCTATTGGAGTACTAACAAGTATTTTATTCTTGACCTGGGCAGTGTTCGTGAAAGTATTTGCTTTATAATAATTATGTCATAGACATATGCTTATTTTTCTGTATGTGTTGAATAGTTAAAACAAACTGTATTTTATTTTATTTATTTTTAACAAACTGTATTTTAAAAATTGATTCAGAGGCTAGTGACTCACTTGTCCAATGCCACATGGTCAGTACACAGAAAGACATGACATTCTTTCTTCTATACCAGGCTTCTCAAATTGGGCATATAAATCCCCTAGGGATCATCTTTAGGTTACAATCACTATTTCTTTCTTTTTTTTTTTTCCTGGTACCGGGGATTGAACTCAGGACCTCATGCTTGTGAGGCAGGCAGTGGAACCACTGAGCCAAATCCCCGGCCTGGGATCATCTTCAGTACAGATGCTGATTGAGTAGATAGTGGTGAGAGTTGAGACTGTATTTCTTTTTTTCTTTTTTTTTGGTACTGGGGATCTAACTTGGGACCTTGCGCTCCATGGCAGGTGCTGGAACTACTGAGCTAAATCCCCGGTCTTCTGTATTTCTGATATGCCAATTCATGACAATGTTGTAGTTTAAAAAAAAAAAAAAAAAAAATCACACTGAGTAGCAAGGCTCCATACTATGCAGCTTAATTTTCTCCCTACCTCTCCATGTATTTCTTGTTTTCCTACTGCTCTCTGACCTTGGGTGTGCTCCCACATTTGACTAGTCATTTTATCACACAGTCCCTCATATACCACATCTGTTCATTTTTGACATTCTATATTTTCTAATCCTGGAGTCTCCTGGAAGTTTAAGACAGATTTGAGGGCTCATTTTGCCAAGATCCAGATTTGCAGGGCCTAAGAGTTTTTCTTTTTTTTGGTACTGGGGATCGTATTCTGGTCCTTGCGCTTGCAGGGCAGGCGGCGGAACCACTGAGCTAAATCCCTGGCCCACCTGAGTTTTTAAAGATTAAAAAAAAACAGGCACTCATAAATTATAGCATATCAATCAGGCATGGCTGCACACTCCTGTAATCCCAGGATCGGGGAGGCTGTGGCAGGAAAACTTATGAAAATTTTAGGCCAGCCTGGATTACATAGTGAAACACTGTCTCAAAAAATAAAACATAAACAAAATATGGCACATCTATACAATATAATATTATGAAGCTGTTTAAAAAACATGCCACAGGGCTGGGATAGAGATCGGTGGCACAAAGTTTGGCTACCATGCCCAAGGACTTGGGTTCAGTCTCTACACCATAAAAAAATAAATAGTGACACGGGCCGGGGATTGAGCCCAGTGGTTTCGCAGCCTGCTGCGCAAGTGCAAGGACCCGAGTTCAATCCCTGGTACCAAAAAAAAAAAAAAAATAGTGACATGAACGTTCTCCAATGAAATGAAAAGGTCCAAAATTATGTGCTCTTATTTGTAAAACTAAGAGGGAGAATACTTACATATACATACATGCTGGGTATACACAGGATGGAAACCTAAGTAATCATATACATTGGTGCCACACTGGGGCACAAGGAGGATTTAGAATTGGGAATGAATAGAGACTTAAAATTTTTTACTAGTCATCCCTTGTTATCCACAAGGAACTGGTTTCAGAACTCCTGAGAATAACAAAACCCAAGCATGCTCAAGTCCCTTAAATAAAATGGTGTAGTATTTGCAAATAACCCGTATGTACCTAATATACTTTCTGATGAATCTTCTTTTTTTTTTTTTGGTACCAGGGATCAAACTCGGGACCCTGAGCTTGGAAGGCAGGTGCCGGAACCACTGTGCTAAACCCCCGGCTGTACTTTCTAATGTATCTAATAATATCTCTAGATTATTTATAATACCTACTACCAAGTAAATGCTATGTAAATAGTACTGACTATATTGTTTAGGGACTAATGACAAGAAAAAAGCTGATACATGTTCAATACAGTCACAATTTTTTTCAAACAGTTTCAACCCACAGTTAGTTGAACCCACAGATAAAGAACCCTAGGATATGGAAGAGCAACTATATATGCTTGTATTTTGAATTTTTTTGCTTTATCAGGTATAATTTTTTCAAGTGGAAAAACAGAAAGTTCCTTAGAATGTACAGTCGCACCTAGGCATGGCGGTGCATGCCTGTAATCCCTGCACTATGGGAGGCTGAGGCAAGAGGATTCCACATTTGAGCCCAGGCTGGGCAGTTTAGCAAGAGCCTGCCTCAAAATAAAAAGTAAAAAGGGGCTGGGTTGTAGCTCAGTGTGAATGCCCTGGAGTTCAATCCCCAGTACCTTCTTCTCCCAAAAGCTTTTCCATTGCTTTCTCCTACTGATTTCCTTTGTCATCAAGGTGGAGAAATGTTTTGGGGGTACACCTGGACACCTACCCATCTGCTAATTCCAGTCTTTAAGCTGTATCCTAATGTTCTCCTCCCCCTATTAGCTGTGATCTTCCAGGTCTTCAATCCTCCACCAGGCTCTTCTGCTAAAGGCCATCAACACACTAAAATTCTTCACACTCCCTCCAGCTCCTACTCTGCAGTGATGAGGATGTGAAGTGAGAGTGCTTTTTGTGCACCGGTGTCTGCGTGTTACTGGATATCGAACCCAGGGTCTTTGCACTGAGATATATCCCCAGCTTTTTGTTTTTTCCTCCGGTTCCAGGGATTGAACTTGGGACCTTGTGGTTGTGAGGCAGGTGCCAGAAGCACTGAGCTAAATCCCCAGCCCTTGTTTTTGTTTTTTGAGACAGAGTCTAAGTTGCAAAATTGCTCAGGCTGGGCTCGAACGTGTGATCCTCCTGGGCCAGCCTCTCAGAGTTCTGGAATTACAGGCAAGTGCCACCAGGCCTGGGCTAATGAGGGCAAAACTTTTTGAAGAATTTCCAATCACAGGGTAAGACTGCCTTCTTCCTTAGGAAATCCTGTGGCTACAAATAAGTGAGAGACATTTTCTTATTTTGCATGTAGTTTGCCAACAATCATTATATGCTTAAAAAGTACTTTGTAGCAAAAAGAGTGGCAAAGTCTGCAGAATGCTGTTTTCTCTTTCCCATTCCTCTCCGCTGTTCTCCGTTGTCAGCGCACTGCTTTTTAAAAACACGTGCACTTGGCCCACGGTCCATCCGGGACTGTACATGGATGGCACACATTAAGTCTTAATTCCAAGCATGATTCTGTCACCCTTGGCTCATCTCTCCCAGTAAAACCAACCCCAACTTTACGATTCCAAACGTGTCCCCGAGGCCCATTTGCCATCAAGTCCATGAAGTGCCGGAAACACAAATATGGTGGCCATTCTTGCCCGGGGGTCTGACCGAGAGGGTGGAAATTTGGGACACAGTCCGGAAGGATTCTTCCTCAGAATTCCTAATGAAGATGATAGTGAGAGACTGAGAGATAGATAGATAGATAGATAGATACGTACGAGCACAGGATCGGCCATTAGTGTGCTTTAAGCCCATTTTTGGCAACTTTTAATGGTGTAATGCCACGCCTGGGCCAGAACCACAGTGGGCGTGGGGGCAGCCAACCTCTGGGTTCCCGGGTTCGGATCCCTCTCCCACCACTCACCCCGGAGTTACACCCCACGTCGAGCCCCAAGATCGGCCTCGTCTCAGAACCCTTGGGAGGAAAGAGCCGCTGAAGGAGCTCCGGGGGCAGGAGGCGGAGCCGTTGTTCCGGAGGGTGGAAGCGGGAATAATGAGGGAAATTTCCGAACGGGGCAGCCCCAGGTTCCAGAACTTGCGGCTCCTCCTCTTTCCTGGCCTCCTCACCGTCCCCTCCGGCCAGTTTCGCGCACGCCGCCATTTGCCTCAGTCCGGCCTTTGGGTCCCGGCGGAACCGGAAGCCGAGAACCTGGGGCGGTCGCAGCGCCAGCGCGCCTGCGCCAAGCGGCGAGGGAGGTTGGGTAACTGTACTGTGGTGGGTGGGCGTGCAAATCTGTGCTTGAACCGCTGCTGTGTACCTGACATTATGCTTGACGGCCTGGCCTGCGTTATCTTGTTGAACCCTGACCACCACTCTAGGAGGGAGTTAGCGGTATCATCCACCTCTCAAGAGGAGGAGGCAAACGCTGAGAGGTTAAGTGGCTTGCCACGCTTGGTTTGAAATGGGCCGCTGGACCAGAACAAGTAGCTTGTTGGGATCTTGGAAATCGATTTAGATCTCACCCTTCCCTGAATGCGTAAAATGAGACCCGGAGAAGAGAAATGACTTGTTTGTGGTTATCTAGTAAATCAAGGATACAGGAACTTGCACCTGGTTCAAGGGTGGGTCACTTGTTTCGCTAGAAGACTGAGACAGCCCTGCCTGGCAGAGGGACAGGTGGATGTGGTAACTGCAGACTGTTCTTGGGAGGAAGGACTATGCCCTAAGAACCTTACTTGAAGAGTGCTTACGGGCACCCTTGTAAGCCCTTTATATGTATTAATTAATCCTCAAACGAACCTGGTAAGGAAAGGACCATCATTAAGATTCCTTTTATATAGATGAATTCCTTGGGGACATAACGAAGTTAGTAAGTTGCCCAAAGTGGCACAGAGAGGATAGTAATAGGATCTGAACGCGGGCAATTTGGCTCCGGATAGTGCTGGCAACATTATTCTCACCCTGCGATTTTCTGTGCTTACGGTAATGCTAGGCATAAAGACTCTCGACCAGTATTTCTTAGGTAAAAATAGAGGATGCAAATAGATGACTAAAGCCAGGTCTGCTTGGAAAAAATTAAAATGGGAGGGAGAGAGAAGCTGAACTGAAAGAGACATTCTGGAATGGATGTATGTAAGATGTGGGCTGAGCCAGAGATTAGGGGGGGAAACTGGTAAGGAGAGAAACCGAGGAGTCAGTCTAGGCAGCACGTTCAGGTTAGAAACCAGCATGGCCTGAGATCTCCAACAGGGTTAGCAAGGGGTGGGCGAGTTGTGCTGACCCCTCCCCACATGGCCAGCCCATCTTAAAGAGACCTTTTGCTACATAAGGCAAGCAATTTGCTAAATTTACAAGGGTCTAAAGCATGACTTGAAGAGACAACCCACAGTGTGGGAAAAAAATTTTGCAGCTGTTCCTCAGACAAAGGACTACTATCTAGAATATATAAAGAACTAAAGAAACTCAGACCCCTCACATTTAAAGACCCAGCTCAAAAATGGGCATCTGAAATGGATAGATACCTCTCAGATGAAATAGAGACAAAAAATAAATACATGAAAAAATGTTCAGCATCACTGATCATTTGAGAGATGCAAATTAAAACAATCCTGAGATTTCATTTCACTCCAGAAAGAACAGCTGTTATCACGAAATCAACAACAAATAGTGGTGGGGTTGTGGGGAAAAAGAACCTTCTACACTGCTGATGGGAGTGTAGACTGGTGCAACCAATGTGGAAATCAGTGTGGAGATTTCTCAAAAAGCTAAAACTAGAGGTTCCATTTGACCTAGCTATTCACCTCCTTGGTATCTTCCTGAAAGAATTAAAAGCATCATAGCACAGCAATATATGCACACCCATGTTTATAGTGACACAATTTACAATAGCTAAATCTTGAAAACAGCTGGAATGCCCATCAACTGATGAATGGATAAAGATGTGGGGTTTTTTTTATACAATCAAGTACTGTACTACTCTGCCATAAAGAAGGATAACCTTGAGACATTTATAGCTAAATGAATGCACCTTGAGACCATACTTTTAAGCGAAATAAATTGGACATGTATGTGTAAATACTGCATTGTTTGACTGGTGTGAGAAACAAAGTGGAAATAAGGACTATAATGTATAATAGATATTGGGAAATTGGAAGA